ACAAAGGTGTGTGAAAATGGTTTGGTTAGTTTACGAAACTTCTGCCGGTATCCATCTGGCGTGATAGCATAAGATGTGAGGATATTCTTTTTTACGTTATCATAGTCATCAGTCTGGTCTAAACAGTTATAAACTCTACGAGCCTTACCACATAATTTAGGAACTAACACCGACACCCACTGGTCCTTAGGCCACTCATTCTTCCCGGCTATTTTCTCAAAAGTCCTAAATGACCCGTCCATATCGGATTCATCAAACCCGGGAACAAGGGAAGAAGCATTAGCAGGGTTAAAAGCAGCTAGTTTCTCTTTTAATGCCACTTCTTTTGATTTAAACTCCGATGTTAAGGTGACTTCTATCTCTCTCACCTGCAGTTCCTTCAGTCTAACCTCCTGCTCCAACTTGGCCTGTTCCGACCTTTCCTCATGCTCCAACTTGGCCTGTTCCGACCTTCCCTCATGCTCCAACTTTTGCTCCAGTTTGGCCTGTTCCAACATTCCCTCATGCTCCAACTTGGCCTGTTCCAACTTGGCCTGTTCCAACTTTTCCTCATGCTCCAACTTGGCCTGTTCCAACTTTTCCTCATGCTCCAACTTGGCCTGTTCCAACTTTTCCTCATGCTCCAACTTGGCCTGTTCCAACTTTTCCTCATGCTCCAACTTGGCCTGTTCCAATTTTTCCTCATGCTCCAACTTGGCCTGTTCCAACTCGAGTTCTTTCATTTTGATTTGGAACTCGAACCTAGCTCGTTCTAGTTCTAAGGCGTCCACTCTTTGTGCTTTTTCTTGAGGGCTAGCCAGACCTGAGGCAACTTCTGATTGAGGAGGGGTGGTGGATAGTGGTTGAAGTTTCTTGGACATGGGCGTTAATCGGTCAACAGCGGATTCTTTTAAAACTTCTTGTTGAACCAACATTTCAATTACATGATTTTTTAACATTTCCTTAGTCAGTTGCTGTGAAAATGGGATATTGTAATAGTTGGCTATTTCTTTCCATTCTTTCTTCAGGATATTAACACGTAATTTAGCTACGGAAGGATTTTCAATAAAATCCTGGAGATCAAAACCTGAGGTGGCCATTGTTAAGAAAACTAGGATAAATTAACAAATGGTCAAAAGATAAGATAAGTGGATTACCCTAGAAAATATCACGGCAGTGGATAACCAGAAAGTCCCGGAAACTACCCAAGTTATACCTAGGGAAATTACACTTATGATTATTGTTCTTCTGATAAGATCCTTAGATAAGGATAAGAGACTTGAAAGAGGAAGGGCATATTACGGCATTAATATAAAGATCCGGATTAACAACCCTTAGATACTTGAATTATTGACCCCGAATGAGATAATGAGAAGAACAATAATTGAGGCTTTATAATTATGGGGTCCTGGTAGAGCAGGGCGTCCCAAGATATCACTTCACCCTAAACTAGTGACTATGGAACAGCCTACTCTGGAGTGAGGGTACGGCATTAAACAGATCCGGATTCTTCCCTACACTCGATAAGACTTACTACACGACTGCCACGTGTAAGAACAGGTAAGCCTTATGACACTTGGAACCTAATATCCTAAGTCTGTCACTCTTACTGTACGATAATACCAATATATGCACACACATATGAAAGAAACTTTAAACCACCGTAAAGCAATTGTGAACAGAAGTGACTGGGAGGAATAATTAACAAGGAGTTACAAGGGAGGAAGGAATATGGCACTTAATGTTGGGTCCTGTCACGGTCGCCATTTGTTACGAGTTGGGGATTTAGAATATAGTTAAAAGTCTACCCAGATCCCAACAGGCAACAACAATAAAAAAACAAAGACAATCGGACTATAAAAGGGTAGACAAAGGATGCGAGTTTTTGTTGTGTATAATAAAGTACCATAAATTCCTTAACAAAATATTCAGCTTTCTATAATTTACCCTTAACCATACTTAACCTAAACATTAACAGTATATACATATTTATACAACATACAATAATTTTGAAGCAAGTGGACGGGGTGAGGCAATATAGGATAACAAATACTTAAGTGCGGAGCTGAGATGGCCGACGAGTAAGGCTGAGTATTGTAGAAGACGGTAGGTAGTCACTGTGACGTAGGTTTCCAGGATAGGTGATCCTGCGGTCACTTCCCAGAGTGAACTGCACTCTCCTGAAACTGTAGCTGACGAAGAAGACTTTGAGGAGGTGACGCAACAACCAGGATATGGAGAAGGGAAACCCCAGAGTGGTAACTAAGAGTAGTCATACTCGGGTTTCGTCCCTAGATGGCGTGGTTCGTAGTGCTGGGTAGGTAGATCATGACAATTGATGACGTGGTTCGTAACACTCCACTACCTACTGTTATTGTTGTTGTACATACTCCACTACCTACTGTTATTGTTGTTGTACATACTCCACTACCTACTGTTATTGTTGTTGTACATGCTACACTACCTACTGTTACTGTACTTACTCCGCTTCCTTCTGTTAATATTGATGTACATACTTCACTTCTTACCGTTACTGTTGATGTACGAGTACATACTCCATTACTTACTGTTGCTGTACAGTACATACTGCACTTCCATACTGTTACTGTTGCTGCTTCCTCACACTCTATGACTGGTGTCGTTCTTACAAAAAAAAAATCCAAACCTCTCGACTTGTGGCCCGTCAATGTTTCTTCTCAGAGGTGGATCACCGACACCACCAGCCGCCATGAGGTGAAGGATTTAGCAGGCTGAGAGAGTTTTTCGTTCCTTTCTTAAAGTGAATTTTGCAGTACAGGTATTATATGAACCATTTTAAGGGTTCTGTTTGCTTTACAACGGGGTTACAATCCCCTCTTTATTAATCAGTGTTTTCAGAGATACACAGTATTTTTGCTATTCTTAATAGAAATTAAACTAGAAAATATAGGAGGAACCTTATTTTCCTCTTTATTTTGAAAATGATATGAACACTTCTAATATTGATTTCCTCTGTTAAAAACCTGCTCCATTGTTACTAAATTTTTATATAAAATAATTAAATCTGGCGAGACGTCCCCCTCAGACTTTTTGCATATTTGGTCTCGTGGTTTATTGTTATATAATTACCGTTGTTTATAAAAAAAATATAATGGGAGCTCCTTATAAATAGAACCAGACGAGGTAGGATTAGGAAATAGGAGAATTTTATTAATAGTTCTGAAAATTCAATTACTTCTCGACTCTAGTTCTAACGTTAATACCCTGTATGAATAATTTATTCTATTTTCTAATCATAGGTAAACCCGAACTCTGTTTTTTTTCTCTTTAGCTCAACTATTAGCACGTCTCTTGCCTTTAGCCCAGAACCATTCTCTTGTCATACATTTCCTGAGATGTCTATGCCCTGTTGGTTGATATTACATAATAATCTTTAAAATTCCTGTGGCCTTGTTCTCGCTGATGCTGAGAGTGAGTGATAAGGAGAGCGGGCGAAAAATAATTGTCCTGCAAACACACAGATCTGATATGATGTTATTAAAACAACTCGCAAAAGAAGGCATAGGTATTATGTTACCACCAGGGGGACTGGCTGTTTACCAACAGCAGATTAGATCATCCTGTCACCAGCAACACGAAGTCATTTTGACCAAACCATATCACTGATGCTGTGTTGCGTCAACAAACATATAAAGAAAAGACCAGGGATATCATTCTAAAGTTTCCAACAGATTAGAGTAACAGGCATGGAGGATACCGAAGTCGAAGAGGTAACGTCGACTGTAATTAAGGGTTGTATTCGCGCATTTTATGAGGTTAGTGGATGGAACACGGTAACTGCTCATCGCGTTAACAAAATAAAAATGAATTATTTTAAACGGTAAATCAACACACACTACTTCCAAACGAAGATTATTTGAATAGCTAAACCAATAATATATGAATGTTCTTGCAGTTAAAAAACTTTTCTGTGTCAGTCAGTGATGGTTTGCTCAATTAATCTTGGGCCTTGAGTAGGAATGAAAAAAGAATCAATAATATGTTACGGGAAACGAAACTTGTACGTGTTTTAGCTAGGACATAAATTCTGCTACTTCTTCTTCGATTATGTTAGGTCTATTGTCTAGAAACCCTCCCGCATATTATTATTATTATTTTTTTTTTTTAGTTTAATGGTTTTGTGGTTGATTTTTTTAAGTCCCCCACTCACCAATGTTTTGTGTTCAAGTGCATTGCTTCGCCTAACAGTGGAAAAGGACGATATTTTTATTAATACGAAAACAATTGAAGAAAAGACGATTCTCTTCATTTCTGTTCCTTCTCCCTTCTGTATGTCTTCCTTCACTTTAATTTTTCCTCTTTTCACCAGTTAAGTTTCCGCCTCGCCGCTGTTTAAAAAATAATTTGCAATTATTTAAAGAAAGACTATGTCTTACCACAACCAGTTCCAACAGAGGAATCTTAGACTCGTTACCTCAATGTTACGAGAAACAAAACAAAACATCATGGCCCAGTGATCCTCAGAATCTTTCAATGTTATATAATGATGAATGAGGGAGAACTGGCAGGCAATCAGAACGCAATGACAAGAACAAGGTGATTGATACCAGGGAACGTGTTAAGAGACTGTACTGCATGATTGGCAGCATTTCTGACCAATGAAGAAATTGTAGGATCATGACTCGGGGCACGACGGTGTGCTGCCTAGGTGTATGATACTTAACTATGTTCTTGTCCGGGTATTTAACTACACATACACTGGTCAGTAACTAGGTTCAGTAATGTTGATTGTTTAACACAGACTTTAAAAAATTGCATCATGACTAACTCAACCTAATTTAGGTGTAGTTTGGGTATATTATGATAATAAATAGCGTCTTCAGTTAAACAAAGCAAAATTTTACCAATATGAACTAATTTCCATGGAGTTATAACAATATAAAAAAGTATTCCAATTTGTCAGACAGCAACACTATTATAGGGTCAACATTTGTTGATGTAGAGGAGGTGGAGCTGGTGAGTCAGGGCCCTCGCCACCTGCCGTGAGCGCACCCCACCCTGGACATAGTCGGTGCCGCACTGCGGGCCAACACACTCCCTGGTATGGATTACGCCCCACACAGTGTCTCGCTCAGTCACAGGCAGTCCACCCTTCTCCCACATCTTAATTCCATCTGACACACTGTGAGAGTACTAACTTCTCCTCACCTTAGCAGTACGCGAGACAGTGTATAAGAAAGTGTGTCTCATCTTCTTGACCAAACACTGCGCGGGGCACAGCGCCGGGAGTTGTCTCTTGTCAATAGATTTTAACATTACGAGAGACTGTATATAAGGTGTCGCTACTCACTGTATTATGTAAGAATGTACAAAAGTTTTTTCTGAATTATTCACGACTTGGTGTTAGAATAAGTGTCTCTCATCCCCCCACCCGTAAAAGGATATGAGTAAGCGGATTGGGCATCTCCTTACGACGCTAACTCGACACTAAACGTAAAACTTTCATACTCAGTGATATTAACTGATGCTGCCGTCAGAGATGGTGTCTTTATTGATTCACTAGGTTTTAAGCGATACAGTGTCTGGATACTTCCTTACCTCTGGACCTTGACTTTACCTTAAGAAGTGTATTAAAACATTCTCACAACTGTCAATCTAGGTATAACGTCTTCCATCAGTAAGCAACAAAACAATGTCTGGTGGTGACAGCTTTGATGATCTACTGTCGACTTTGGGATTCGGAAGATGGCAACTTCCATCCCTCATGGTGACAGTACTTGGTGAGTACATGCATGTATAATCTGGTGTTTTTGGTGACGAAAATGTACAAAGCTTGAGTGTCAGGAAATAGATTTTAACCTCGTTGATACGAGTGTCTCGTGGTTCCTAATAGATACTACCACCTTTCTTTTTTTCCTTTTTTTTTCTTAAGTGGGTCCCATAGGCTTGACTGCTTGTTAGGTACCCATTCACAGATGGGTGGACTAGGAATGTCCTGGGGCGCCTCCCCCAAAAGTAAGGAGGCAAGAGTTGTCTACTAATCCGCCTCGCCCTAATTTTCTTGTACATTTTTGTCAAGAAATAGCTTCCAATTGAGAGGATAAAGGCTATAAATAAGTTATAATAACAAAATACTACTGCGACTGTCGTGCAAGTGTAAATATATGTTCGTTCACCTCAGTTTCAGGGTTTATCATAAAAAAAAATTACGTTGACAGCACTACAATTAAAATTTGCATGCGTCACATTATAACGTTTTCCGGGGATATTCCGTGCGTGAGGCTGTGCCAGGGTAAATGTTGTATGTTAGAAGTGTTAGTGATGAAAAAAAAAAAAGTCCAACATCCACGAGCGATCATGTCTGCTCTTTTCAGTCCCACTTGATTTGTTGAAGTTTAGCCGTCGTAGATTGGAAAAAAAAAGTAAAATAAAATAGTTGGAAATATCTATATTGCTATTTGGGGGTCAGAGCAAGTCGTCCATTAAGCGAATTCCACGATTTTTTTTCAGGACATTAATATCATTGTTTGAGGATCTACACCAAGAGTAAGGGATCAAACTCTCCCACACTGAGAATTTGGTGAAATTACCAAAAAATACGTAAATCTCATTGATTTTTTAATCTTTACGTTGGACTTGTAGTAAATCAAATTTTATGTATATTTTCATTTCATTTGGTCTAAATATGTTTGAAAGGCATCTAAAATTGTACTTTATTGGGGGTTCAACCATAATATCATTAAGAAGACTGCAATAAAAAGATAATTAAAAAATCACATATGAAACTAAGATATATGCTTGATAAGTATTGTATTATCTAAATTCTCTCGTGGAATATATAAACGCAAAACAGTATAAAGTTAAACTGGTTATAATTTGGCTTGACTGGTTATAATTTGTTGTTTTTCTACCTGCATTATGATGGTAAACAACTCTATGATTATCCATATATCACCTGTAACATCAGTAGACTACAACACGCACAGACTCGACTGATCAGGAACCGAATTCACGCGGATAACGGGAGAGACGATGAACAGTTCCGGAGTGAAATATAAACGAAAAGAAATGGGATCCCAAACATTGCATACGAAGGAAAAGAAGGAAATAATTTGACAATACTGTACAGAGGACCACTATTATGAAGAAGAAAAGAGATATATAGCCTGGGCAGACTAAAGGTGAACGGATGGCGGTGTGAGAAGGGCGTGGTAAAGGGGTGGCTATGTTAGGATGAAGAGGGCGTGATAAAGGGGTGGCTGTGTTAGGATGAGGAGGGCGTGATGAAGGGGTGGCTGTGTTAGGATGAGGAGGGCGTGGTGAGGACGGTCGGGGTATCGCAGTTGTGTTGGGCTTGACAACCCGACAGCATCCCCCCGCCCCATATAACTATCCTGCAGTTCCCCAAGTTAAAATTGATACACCTAAAGAGTATCATCACGTTTGTTGTAGCTTAATGCTTTCTGAATACATTATTAACTAGGAAAAAGAAGGAAGAGGTAGAGGTATGGAAGGAATTTATGCGATGTAGTACCAGGTTTCAGATTTGCCTCCAACACACCATAAAGGAGTTCAAAGGTGACATGATACTGCTTTTGAAACCTGTGTGTGTGTGAGTGTATGTATGATTATGTGTGTGAGTGTATGTATGTGTGTGTGTTTGTCATTGTGTGTATCATTGTATGTGTGAGTGTATTTATGTATGTATATGTGTGTGATTGTGTGTGTCAGTGTATGTATGTGTGTGTGTTTGTCATTATGTGTATCATTGTATGTGTGAGTGTATTTATGTATGTATATGTGTGTGATTGTGTGTGTCAGTGTATGTATGTATGTGTGTGTGTGTATAATAATAATAATAATAATAAACGGTTTATTAATAGAGTTGCAGCCGGTGGCTGAAACTATACGAACTTACATTTGATTTAGACATAATGATATGCATTGAATACAGTTACAGGGCTGTACAGTACATAAATCAGGAGTTGTTTATTATTTTAACAATAGATGGGATGGTGATATTCTTATATCTATCAGTGCGGGCTCTTATGGGCTGAATTTTGTTGTAGTGGCGGACTGCGCGAGGTGGGCGGGGGACTGCCGGTGGCAGGAGGTGGCGATGACGACGATGGTGCAGTAGTCCACTGTGTGTGTGTGTGTGTGTGTGTGATTGTATGTATGATTATGTGTGTGTGTGCACAGTCGGCCACAGGAATAAGTATACACACCATAGCTGTAAGGTCCAAAATGGTCTGGTAACGTTGAAACTGCACATCCAGACGCATGATGAAACTCAGCTGCTCCCACCTGTTATCTCTAACTATTTTCTGTTTCCCCTTCTTTATTCTTCTATTTACTCCTCTTCCTTCCTTTACTAATTCAAACATAAGTAAAAAAAAGTAGAGACAAGAGAAAAAGTGGGGGAGGAGGGAGCCGTACGATAACTGCAATCCCATTCAGCAACAAGTTTACTATCATTGGATACAATACATTACTTGTAATATAAACACAAGACACTTGTAAAACATTCACAACAAATGTATTTATAATATATATGTAGGAATAAAACATAAATTATAGGTCATTTTGTAATTTTGTCTGTTCTGTTCAGGACAGAGTTACCAGATATTTTGTCTCAAATACGAACCGTACGTGAATACCCATTCTTGTGGACGACTGTATGTATGTATGTACAGTATGTATGTGTCGGTGTATGGGTGTGTGCGTAATAATAATATTAATAATAATAATAATAATAATAATTAACGGTTTATTGAAAAAGCATGGCAGCCGGAGGGCTGAAAATATACAGTTACATAATTGGGGAATGGGTCTCTTGATTTGCAAATAATATACAAGTAACATAAGTGATACAAATATGTTATATAGTAACTAGGTGGGGAGAAGCTCAAACTACAGGGCATTTCAACATAGTGACAGTGCAAAAAGTAAGATTGACTGGGAGTGAATACACTGGTTGATTACAAGTTATTGGTAATTTTTACAATGGTTGGGACTGGGCTGTTCTTATAGAGACCAGTTCGTGCTCTTATGGGCTGGATGTGGTTGTGGTGATGAACAGCAATTCTCGGGAGAGGGATCTCGGGTGGTAGTAGGAGCCGGTGTCGAGGATGGTGCAGAAGCTTCTCACCAAATTTGCAGATGAGGTCATGGTGATGATCAGAGAGAGCCGAGAGGGTCAGTGTGTTGACCGTTTCTTGATATGTGGAGTAAGAAGGGGAGAGATTAATCTTGCATGCCCTCTTTTGCACTTTTTCTAGGTGTTTACGTTGTGTGGCATTTAGGGAGGTAGTCCAGGTAGGGGAGGCACAGGTGAGCTTGGGAAGTATGAATATTGAGTAAACACTGAGGAGCTCGGGGGGCAGGAACTCCGAGGGACTTGAGTCGGCGGAGGAGGTGGAGACGGAAACTGGAGGATTTGACAACTTCACTGACGAGTGTGTGTGTGTGTGTGTGTGTGTTTTCTGAATGTGTACATGTGTGTGTACATATGTGTGTGTATGTATGTGCGTGTGAGTATGTGTGTGTGTGTGTATATATATATATATGTGTGTGTGTGTATATATATGTGTGTGTACATATGTGTGTGTGTGTGTGTGTGTGTGTGTTTTTTGAATGTATACATATATGTGTGTATGCTTGTGTGTGTATGTGTGTGTGTATGTAACCTTGGCTCACTGGTTTTGGTAGTCTCGAGTCAACATAACTTACCAAGTCGGTGAGACTAGAACACTAGGGTGCAGTAAAGTAATTGTTTGTATATTTTTCAGTAAACGGGTAGTGCCTCTTCCGAAGTCCAATGTACACTAACTTTAAGAAAACTTTCACAAAGCAAGGTACACTTCTCTAATTTGTTCATACCAGAGTTATCGTTCACTTCTCACATTTGGTAGCGGCTGCCACGTGGGGCAGTGAGATCATACTTCTGATTAAGCATACTGGAACCGTTCTCGTGCCTGACTGTGGCTTACATGTGGAGGGGTTTACGCCCGGAGTTTTAATGACCCTCTTCCGTTGACGGAGGTCGTCGTGATTACAAACAGAGTTAAAAAATAAAGCCTGTTCATCGTGCTTATGGCGCCGTGAGCCTCCACTGGGGATTGTGTGAAATATAACAAAGCCTAGAATTACTTTTGGTGTCCTTGTGGCGCAGTAGTAGTAATCCCTGTTCACACGCAGAGGTCCAGGGTTCGATTCCCGACTAGTGAAGCATTGTTTGTATATAGAAGTCAGCGTGCTATATGGAATTATGATATATATATATATATGATATATATATATATATATATATATATATATATATATATATAGTAATAAAAACTTTTTATATCGTATAAGAAATTAATGAGACATCAATATGTAGATCGCCCAGTATGTGTGTCTGAGTTTGCTAACCTTACAGCATAAATCCTTGCAAGTATATCAACAAAGCTAACACTATCTTGTTTCCCACAATTTATGAGAAGGTAGCCCCCAGGACGAGTGACCAACTTAGCACATACCATAGTAAATAAACCACAAACCCTTCCTGGCCATATATATATATATATATATATATATATATATATATATATATATATATATATATATAAATATATACACCCCACCAGGACTCGAACCCACGGCCCACGAGCCCATGACTGTAACCGGGGAATGCTACCTCTGGACCACCAGGATACTAAAAGAATGTCTTTTATATGCATATACAGATTAAGTTCGAGGGTAAACCAAACCTGTGAGGACTGTTCTACGTCAACCT